AGACACCAGTTGGGAAGTGGAGCTTTTCCATCACCAGAATTGACTGAAGGCAGATGCCCCATGGCCCGAGTGAAGCTAGGGTGCAGAGGAGTGGACCACACATCTAGTCGGTTGCAAAGAATGAGTGCTGCTCCCCTGGAATGAATACAAGTGTGAGCTTTATATAGTTCACTGAAAGTGGTGGGAATGATCAGCCTGAACAGAATTTGCTGCCAGATGTGGATCTGGTGAATCTATCCTCTCTATTGTCCTTCTCTGCCCTACTGCTGTCTAAAGAGCTGGCATCACTCCCCTTCAGGAGTTTCCTCCTCTCTTCAAATGTGGCTAATTTGCTGCTTGTCCTTTCATAACACATTTTGCCTCTAAATAAAAGTAAGTTGACTTTTATTGCATTCTAAGTGAGTGTTTTTCGTAACTGAATGGAAAGACTCTTGGACCAACAGTCAAGTCAAGTTAACAGGCATTTATGAAACTTTTGATATGTGCCAAATGGGGAAGCTTGGTGGCACAGTGGATAGAGCACCAGGCCTAGAATCAGGAAAATCTGAGTTCAAATCCAGCTTCAGACACCGGCTGTGTGACCCTGGGCAAGTCACCCAACCCACCTATTTGCCTCAGTTTCTGATCTGTAAAATGGGAACACACTAGGGAAGGAAATGGCAAACCACTCCAGCATCTTTGCCAAGAAAATTCCATGAACAAAGTCTGTGGGGTCACAAAGAGTTGGACGTGACTGAATAACAACAACAATGTGCCAGATACTATGATACATGCTGGGTATAGAAAGAAAGGCAAAAACCATTTTTGTCATCAAGGAACTCATGTTTTAATGAGGACACAACATGCAAAAAAACCCTACATACTATATCCTCATCTATATATAAGATTGTTCAATTGTTCAGTTGGACTCATGTCCAACTCTTTCTGACCCCATTTGGGTTTTCTTGGTAGAGATACTGGATTGGTTTGCCATTTCCTTCTCCAGCTCATTTTACAGATGAGGAAACTGAGGCAGATATGGTTAAGCGGCTTGCCCAGAGTCACACAGTTAGTAAGTGTCCAAGGCCAGATTTGAACTCAGGAAGATGAGTCTTACTGATTGGCATTCTCTGCACTATGGCACCACCTAGCTGCCCATATAAGTATATATACACACATAAAATTGGAGATGATCTCAGAGAAAAGAAACTAGCACTGAGGGTGACTAGGAAAGACTCCTTGCAGATGGTAAGATTTTGGATGAGACTTTAAGGAAGCCAGGTGTAGAGGATGAGGAGGGAGAGCATTCTAGACATGGTGCACATCCAGTGAAAAGGCACCGGGTGGGAGACAGAATGTCTTCTGTGAGGATCAGCGGTGTTACCAAGAAATAAAGTATTAAAAGAGTGTTTAAAAAAACTGAAAAGGTAGAAAGACACCAGGTTGTGAACAGCTTTAAAAGCCAAAAGGAAGATTTTCTATTTGGCCCTGGAGGTCATAAGGAGTCACTTGGGTTTATTGATAAGGGAGCAACATAGTCAGACCAGGGCTTTAGGAAGATCTCTCTAATAGCTGGTTGGAGGGTGGACTAGAAATGGGAGAGACTTAAGGTAGAGAGACAGACCAACCAGCAGGTTATTGCAGTAGTCTAGGAGTGAGGTGAAAAGGACCCACACCAAGGTGGTGGCAGCCTCAGAGGGATAAAGGGGGCTTATATAAGAAATGATGCAATCAGCAGGAGTTAGCAATAGATGGGAGGGGCTTTATCAATAAGGATTTACTTGGCAGTGTAACAAGTTTGGTGACATTGGGGACAGTCATTTCAGATGAGTAATGGGGAAGGAAGTCACATTGTAAGGAGCTGTGAAATGAATGGGAGGTGAGAAAGTGGAGGCAGTGCTGATTAGCTTTTCCCAAGAGTCTGGCTGTGAAAAGCTGGAGAGGTATTGAAGGATAACTTGAAGTGATGGTGGGACCTACTTTAGGGTTCTTTTGTATTTTTTTTTTTAAAGATGTGGGAGATCTGGGCATGTTTGCACGCAGCAGGGAAAGAGTCAGGTAAAGAGAGGTTGAAAATCAGGGAGGAAAAGGAAATGATGGAAGGGGAAATCCCCCTTCCAGCTCTGAGCTGTGTTGAAAATCAGCACAGTGAAAAAAGAAAAAAAAAAGAAAGAAAATCAGCACAGTGTAGTGGGCAAAGTGGAGGTCGTTCAGTTGTTCATTATTAAGTGCTTATGTGCTAGTGAGTCAAGCAACAAGCATTTCTATGCACCAGCACTGTGCTAAGTAAGTGTTAGAGGTACAAAAAATGAAGGGTGGTGGTGAAGTCCAATCCAGTTCTCAAGGAAATCATAGTCCAATGGGAAAGACAACATGCAAACAACTATGTACAAACAAAATATAGTCAGGGTAAGTTGAGGGTAGTCTCAGAGAAAAGGCACTACAATTAAGGAGGAATGGGAAAGGCTTCTTGTTGAAGAGAGGACTTTAGTAGGGCCTTGAAGGAAGAAAAGAGGCAGAAATAGGGGGAGGGGAAGAGACACAGAGACTTAGAGACAGAGAAAAGAGGAGAAAAAAAGAAGAGAGAAAGAGAGAAAGACAGACAGGAGAGGAGAGAGGGGAAAGAGAGACAAAGAGGAAAGAGAGAAGAAAGGGGGGGGAGAGAGAGAGAGAGAATAAAGGAGAGACAGAGAGAGACAGAGATCATTGCGATCATTGCGGGCATGCAGGACAGCTAGTGAACATGCCCCAGGTTTTCAGACAGCACGTCTGGTTTGAGGTGACCGGTGCTACTTGGTCATGGAGCGCGTTGTGGGGAATTAGGTATAAAGCTGGAAAGCTAGGAAGGAGCCAGGTTACAAAGGGCCTTAAAAGCCAAACGGAAGATTTTCGATTTGATCTTAGAGGTAAGAAGAAGCCATTGGAGTGGCTTGGATAGGGGAATGACGTGGCAGTCTGTGCTTTAGAAGATCACTTTGACAGCTGCGGAGGGGACAGCCCTGAGGAGGGGGCAGCGACGGAGGCAAGGAGGCCAGCTAACAGATTATTACACTGGTCCAGGCACGAGATCCCGAGGGTTCACATTAGGGCAGTGGCAGTGTCGGAGGAGAGGAGGGAGCATGTGAGGAATGTGCCTCCCTGTGCAGGCTCTGAGCTGAGCACTAGCATACAAAGAAAGGTAGAGAGTCCCTTCCCTCAGGAAGCTCCAGCTCCAGAGGGGAGTCACTAGGTACACCCAAGACACAATGTACATGAAAGATAAACTGAAAGTGGCAGCGGCTAGCAAGGGGGTGGGGAGGAGCAGGGAGGCCCCCCTGAAGGAGCAGGGATAGGGTCGGAGTCTCTGAGAAAGCCAGGGAAGTCAGAGGTGGAGGTGAGAGGGAGGAGCTGTCCAAGCACTGGGCACAGCCAGAGGTCAAAAGACAGGAAAGGGAGTGTTCCGTGCAGGGGACCACAAGCAGGCCAGGCAGCTGGACTGTCGACTTCGGGGAGGAGGGTGAAGTGTGAGAAGCCTGGAGAGGGAGGAAGAGGCCGTGTGGTCAGGAGCTTTGAAAACCAAATAGGAGTTTTATCGGATCCCAGAGGGGAGCGGCGTCATCAAAGTTGACTGAAGAGAGGACAGGTGCCGTACGTGGTCATTCCTGTATACGAGGAAAATCCGTTTGGCCCCAAGGGGAGGATGGAATAATGGAGACATGAATCAGGGAGGCCCTGCAACATTGACTGAACTGGGGGGGAGGGGGAGGCGAGTTATGCATAGAATGAAGGGGCCGTAGATGAGAGACGTTGTGGAGTCAGATGGCACTGAGGCTGTGGGAGTCTGAGTCATAGGTGGGTTCAAATCCTGCCTGTGACCAGCTGGGGGACGCCGGACCTCAGTTTTCCAGGTAATGATACCTATAAGATGAATGGCGGATGTTGCCTCACAGGGTTGGTTAGTGTCCACGCGCTTTGCACACCCCTGATGTTCTCAGGCATGAGTGAGCTTAGGGGAGAAGTTGCTGAGGAGGTCCCCTCCAGGAAAAGAAGACCTCTCACACCCATTGACAAATTTTGTGGAAGTAGTGCCTTCTTCCCCTCCAACGCTGACAGTCTACAAATTATGCTCCTCTCCCCTGCCTATCCCTGAGTCTGAGTCTCCCAGACTCTCCTTCCCTCCCTACTTCCCAGACTGATGGCTTTGTATTTTGAGGACTGGTCCATTGATTTCCCTCAGATGGGGAAAGACCCCAAGAACCCCCTGAGTTCTACTCAAGACAAGGTAGTCCCTTAAGGTCCAGAATGAAGGTCCCGACCCTCCCACCCCTAACCTTTATGGTCGGTCCCCTCTTTTTATTCAGCCTTCCCTATCCTCCCTTCTTCTCTGCCCAGCAGCTGCCCCTGGGCCTGTGCTTCCTGGCCAGCCCCTGGAACAGACCGTAGTGGTTCGCTGTCTGGGATTGAGCCAAACCCCACTGGAGATCAGCTATTTCTGCTTTCTCCAATGATAGGTTCATAGGAGGGAAGAGTCCCCTAACAGGGTCTTTAAGGAACGTCAGTCACATTTAACATCTCCCCAGCCCCTGTCCAGGAAACTTTTCTTTAGGAATACTTCCAAAATGAACCCCAAAATCTCTCTCCCTCTCCAGGTTACCATGGGAAATGAATCCCAGCTCATCTCTCTGGCCCTTCTCGCCCAGAGATCACAGGCCAGCTTGGAGTTAGATTTGTGTTTGCTAAGAGGGTTTTGCTGTTGTCATTGTTTTGCTTGATGTTGTTATCTGTGATTGTGTTTGAGCAAACTGGCTTAAACACCTGTCTCACCTTCAGACCTCCCTAAGGGCAGGACCAAGTTTCCTCCAGAGAATAATGGTTCAACAAGGGCAGAAATGTGTCTCCTGCCTCAGATGGGATCTTTTTTCCCAGCCCTCATCCCCACATAGATCCAGATGACGGGATCCTAGGGGACCCAAATTGTGTGCAGGAGGGTACATGCATCATATAAAACAAACTACACTTTAATAAGAAAATTGGTTGAGGAGTAGCGCTAACCCTCACTGCCTCCTTCCACATTTCTTCTCCCTTCTGCTCCCTGTATATTTGTCTTGAGTGTCTGACTTTGGTCCTTGATGAATGGGAGAGATGAGGCATGTGGTGGGACAAGAGGCAAGAGACCCAGAGTTCTAGGCAGAAGAGTTGGGGCCAGGGGCCCCAAGGAAAGCACCACAATTAGTGGTAATCGATACCAAAGTGCACTGTGAGGTTGGTGTAGAGGGGGGTCTGCTCCTTGGACAGTAAGCTGTAGAGGAGATTATTCATCCCATTGTAACGCCACCTCAGATGGGTTCTGGAGAGGAGCTGAAACCTAACAGGGGCAAAGAGAAGAAAGATGTGTAGGCCCTGTGGTAGCCTGCAGCTGCCCCCCACCCCTCCACCATCACTACTATTTTTATCCTGCCTACTTCTTTGAGGTTTCACAATTTCTGAAGCTTCTTCCTCACAGCCACCTGCAATGTGGGGAGTCTTGAGTATGGGCCCATTTTACGGATCAAGATCCTGAGGGTTTGGATAGACATAACCATCCATCTATTGCCCCCTCTTCCCCACTTAAGAAAGTGATCTGTGCCATGACCCAAGGGGAATAAACAGGGAAGAATCCCCTGAAAATAGGAGAGTGCAAATGTGATTCCTTCTCTCTTCTACGGATGACCCAAGGGTCACTATTCCTTCCAGGAGAATGACCCTAGAATGACTCCCTGACCCCCTCCCATTATGATGAACCTCTGCTTTCAAGTACATCTATTGGGCAAGTCAATGATCCTTCTACAAAGGCACTGAGATCAAGCATGGTGAAGGAACCTCTACCAGTCACACCCAGGGATAAGACCTGAGAGCATTCTCCTATGTAAGAACCCTTCATAAGGGAGCTCTTCTGGAGACAGAGCGGTCACCTCCAAGGGTTGGTCTCAGGGGCTGGCCTTAGAATACTCAGGGAGGGTGAGACACATTTCAGGTTAAGCCCTTGATCAAGGATGATGAGAATGGCAGTGTCCCCTCCCCCAGGCCCCTCCTCTCCTTCCACCTCTCACCTGTTGGGGTTGGCCTTATTTCCTCTGTCATGACCATGCTTCAGCATGTGGTAGCGGCCAAATACTGCTGGAGGCCGGGAGATTGACATCTTATTCAGGAAAATTCTGTGGAGAGGAATGGAACAAAGAAGCCCCGTGGTGTCTTTCCACCTGCTCCCAGCCTTCCTCCCCACCAGACCTAGGCACAGATTACTCACCTGGATGCAATGTCATCATCCTCACCCCCCCAGCCCCAGTAGTTGTTGGGAAAACCATTGATCTTCAGATAGTGAATGGGCTGCAGTGCCATCACACCCCCAAAGTATGTCTGGTAAGGAAGCCTAGAAACATGAAGGACAGGCTGAGTCAGACAGAGGACCTGCTAGGCCAGATGTCACTGTAGCTGCAATTCTTCTGAGGCCTGCTTTCAGTGACCTCTACCCAAGGCCCTTCCCTCAGACCCACATGAAAATCCCTCCTTTAAGCGGATGGTTCTAAGCCTTCTGATAACTGCTCCCCTTTGCCCCTAAGGGTAGCCCCTCCTCTTAGACCCGAGAGCTAGCCCCTGACGTCTTGCTCAGGTTATCTCAGAAGATAACCTCTCTGGCCCCTGGAACAGCTACTCCTCTCTTACCTTGGGGACAGCAGCTCCTTTCTTACCCCGGAGACAGTCTCTCCACTCTGCCACATGGATAGTTCTCTTCTCTGGCCACTAGGATTGCCCTCTTTTCTAACCCCTGAGCTAGCCCCTCCTCTATGGCTCCTAGGATAGACCTCTTTGCTAATTCCTGGGATACTCTCCTCTCTGGTCCCTGGGAGCGCTCCTCTTCTCTGAACCTGGCTTCTTGGGGATAGCTCCTTTCTCCCCTCTGCCTTCACTTACTCATACTGGAACTTGTCAATGGCTACGGAAGCATGCATGGGAAAGGCACTGCAGTCGTAGATGTTTCGGTCATCCTCAGGAATCAGATCCACATCATGGAAGTAAAGACACTGCCAGTTATTCTCCTTCATGGCCTCTTTGAAGCCCACATTCAATAGCTTCCCTCGGTTAAAGGTATAATTGTCCATCTGAAATAGATAGAGCCTTTAAACTGGAGGGATGGCCCTTTATTCAAGGTGAACCCTGCTCAGTGCCTGACTCAGACAGTGTGTACCCACTCCCTATGCCACCATCACTACCCCCTATACACACACACACTCACACACACACACACACACACACACACACACACACACACACACAATGGGGAGAGGACCAAAACAGGTGACCTTGATTATACAAAATTCAATGCAGCAGAAACTTTTTTTTTTAATCCAGATTTTTTTTGGAGGGGGATGGGTAGATTTTTGCCTTAAATTTCTCTGATTAAAATCTGACACCTAATTTGACACAAATTTCTAAGACTAAGGCTCTCCCCAGTAGTCAAGCAGTCAAAGGATATAAATAGCTTCCAAAAGAAGAATAAACAACCAAAAAAAAGTTCAATCTCCCTAATAGATTAATGCATACTAAAATAACCTCATCTCCATTAAGCTAGAAAAGCCAATTTAAAAAAAAAAAATCCTTTTTAGAAGGGCTCTGGGGGAGTATGGGACAGTAACCAGAAGGCCAAATTTGAAGCCAAAATACCCAGATTTGAATTCTGGATCTGATGCTGACCCACTTGGTGACCTTGGGGAAGTCGCTTAATTTCTCTGGGTCTGTACAATTGGGGGGAGGGGGTGGACCAGATAGTCTCTGAGGGCCCTTCCTGCTCTGGGACTATGTTCCAACAAACCTTCTGAGAGAGTTGTGAACTCTTCCAATCAGAACATCATAGGTTTAAATCCAAGAGGACCCTACCAGCCATTCGGTACTCCCTTCCCCCATTGAACAGATAAGAACTTTCCAGGGGGTCACCCAGTTAGTGTCAGATGCAGGAACTGAACTGAACCTGGAATTCTGCACAAAAAAATTACTGTATTACTCAAATCCTTTGATCCAGGGATCCCACTACTGGGATCATATCCCACATAGGCTCCTGACTGCAGAAAAATGCTCATTTGCACAAAAATGGTCATAGACACATTATCTGTGATGACAAAATCTAGAAACAAATGCATTCAGCGTCTGGGGCATAGCGGAACAAACTTTAGCAGGTGAACATAATGGTATATCAGTGCTCCAAGAAGGAACAAGGACCACACCTGTGATTTCATAGGTATAGGTAACATCTTCTAGTCCTAGAGAGGTCCTGGGGCAGCTCAGTGGATACAGCTGATACTAAAGTCAGAAGGACCTGAGTTCAAATCTGGCCTCCGACACTTAGTAGCTGTGTCACCCCAGGTAAGGTAACCTTGATATGAGAGAGAGAGAGAGAGAGAGAGAGAGAGAGAGAAAGAGAGAGAGAAGGTTCCTTAAGTATTATGTCAGAGGTGAAATCTGAACTCAGGCCCAAGGTCCCGACTTTCTCTTCTCATTAAGAAAGCCGACTATAAAGAGCAAAATGGGAAGACTTGTATGAAGAGATGCAGAGGGAAGAAAACAGAGCCCAAAGGACAATAGACACATCCAATAGAACTGTGTAAATGAAGTCGAAATCTAGATAAATACAATGGTTAGTGCCAGTCCTTTCAAAGTTAAAGACAGTCCTTCCTTTCCTTCCCCAAATTGTCTCCTATTTATGCACCTGTTTACGTGTTGTATCCTCTAGTGAGAGACATATCACAAAGCACTTAGCACAGTGCCTGACACACTGCAGGCACTCAATAAATGCTTGTTTCCTTCCCCTTCTTATTTCTAGTGAAATATGTTTATCACAGGCGAGGACCTTTTTTTTCTTTTTGACCTTATTTCTCCAATGCCTACTGCCTTTTCCACAACAGCCATTTAGTAAATGTTCAGAGGTTTATCTGTCACGCCCAAACAAAACATGGATAAATTTAAAGTTACTTTGCAAATACCATACGATCATAATCAAAGCTGATGACCAGAATCCACTCCCAAGTTGCCTCTGCCACTGGTGATCTGATCAACCTTAGACTTGCTGAGTGGGGTTATTGTCTAGCAAGAGCTCAGGGACCATAAAATGGCAAGTTAAATTGTGTAAAATTGAAAACGTTTTTGCACAAACAAAACCAGTGCAGCTGAAATTAGAAGGGAAACTGTTAACTGGAGGGGAAAAAGATCTTTTCAGTAAGTTTCTCTGACAAAGGACTCATTTCTAAGATACGTATAGAACTGATTCAGAATAAGAAAAACCTGGGAAGACCCATATGAACTGATGAAGAGTGAAATGAACAGGTGAGGACAAATTGATACAATAGAGACAACAATACAAAAACAAACAGCTTTGAAAGACCTCGGAATCCTGATCAACGTGACAACCAAACAGCGTCCAGAGGACTCATGAAGAAGCGAGCTACCAACGTCTCACAGTCCGCCTTTAACCGAAACATTGGCGGAAGGCGGGCAAGAACTGATGCTTACAAACCGTATTCACTTAGTACCAAGGGACTTAAAAGCAGACAGGGACTCTACGTAGGTAGTTGAGGGAATGGAGGGTCAATCCAATTTTAAGGAGGCATGAGGGGCAGGTAGGTGGTGTAATGGATAGATCTCCCACCTCAGAGCCAGGAGGACCTGAGTTCAAATCTGGCTTCAGATACTTGACACTTACTAGCTGTGTGACCCTGGGCAAATCATTTAACCTCATTGCCTGGCCAAAAAAAAAAAAAGTGGCAGGAGAGGCAGTAGAAGATAAAATATCACACATAAATGTCACATGTAAAATTTTTTTAAAAAACCTCCACCTTGGAAACATCAATGTGTCTTTCACCATGTGAGATACTTACCTTTGCTATCCTAGACATCTCCCTCTGGATCAAACCTCCCTTTGCTTTTGCATCCCTGGGGAGGGGTCTGTGTGAGTCTCTGGGCTCTGTTCTCCTTCTGGAGAAGAGGGCAGTACGCTTTAGGCCCTCCTTAGCCAGGCTGGTGAGATCTCTTTCCTCCATAGCCTTCCCACTCCCCCTCTGCCCAGTCCCTTACCTGGTGCACCACATAGATGGCATAGTGGATCTGCTGTCTCTGCAAGAAGGGGTGCAGGTGGTAGAGCAGCTGGTGCAGGTGCCTTCTCCTGGCCCGGTAGGGGATGATGATGGCCGTGTGGTGAAGAGCCCAGCAGTTGGGTGGCTGATAGTGGCCTCCCAGCTGCACCAGCGGGTTCTTCTGAACGATGTCATCCAGCGTTATATCAAGAGGGAAGCTCACCTTCAGAGGGCCACCTGAGAGAGGAGGAGGAGTGATGTGAGCCCTCTCCCCTCCTGACTCAAAGACCAGAGAGCAGGCATGCCCTGTCCAGCACACCTCCTCAGCCTCCACCTCTAACCCAGAAGCATGAAACCTCCGGGACAGATGTCACAGATCATCTAGTCCAATGGTGACTCAAATAATGGATGGATTTCCCGGTACACCATCAACATCTAAATGGGGTGGGGAGGATGGCAATTGTGGGTCTGAGCTACCACTGGGGGAAGTGGGGAAGAAGGAAGCCGTGAAAGGGGGACCTCAAGTAAAGGACAGTTGGCGAATGGTACAAATCCCGTCTCTGACCTTTATGTACAAACCGAGGCCCATTAGGCAAGAGAGTCACATCTCCCACCTGCCTTCTCTTTCTGAATAAATTTAGAAGTGGACCTTGGAGGCCTTTTAGTTACAAAAGAGGAAACTGAGGCCCCACAGGCATGAAGTGGCAGTAGTGGGATTCAAACCCAGGCAAATCCAGGCTCTTTATACTACATTTTAAACAGGTCAGTCTAGATGACTTTGGATGTAGGACAGTGGAAAGAGTGTCTAGTGTCAGAGGACCTGAGTTCAAATCCTACCTCTGACCTTTACTTTAAGTGTGGCCATGTTGGACAAGTCATTTAAACTCCCTGAGTCTCAGTGGCATCATCTGTAAAATGAGGGGATGGACCAGATTGATGCTGAGGCTTCTTCCATCTCTCACTCATTTGACTGTTTGGAGGCAGCTGGGCCCAGAGTCAAGAAGAACTGAGTTCCAGCCTCAGCTACTAACTGTGTGCCCCTGGGCAGATCACTTAACCCCTGCCTCAGTTTCCTCATTTGTAAAATGAGGATAATAATAGCCATCACCACACACACACACACACACACACACACACACACACACACACACACACACACACACAGCATTGTCATGAGGACCAAATGAGATAATATTTGTAAAAATTAATTAGCATAGTGCCTGGCATGTAGTAGGCACTATATAAATGTCCAGGGGTGAGCAACCTGCAGCATCAGGTTCTCCACTCTAGTCCCTTCCCTTCCCTAAGGAGAATGTCAACTCCAACTGTGTGCCAGACACCAAAAATGGCACAGGCCCTGCCCTTAAGGAGCTTATCTTCTATCAGGAGAAACACCAGGTACAAGAATCTAGAGAGGAGGAGGGAGCAGGAGGGGCAGGGACAGGAAAAGCCTTCTTTAGGAGGCTGCCCTTGAGCAGAAACTTCAAGGAAACTAGAGACTGAGGGGAGGAATGAGGGCATTCCAGGCATGGCTAGCAGCCCGTGTGTGCATAAAGACCCAATTTTGGGAGCTGATTGGATTGTAGAATGGAGGAAGGAGAGTAGTGTATAAGAAGGCTGGAGAGGTAGGTTGGGGTCTAGTTGTGATGGATTATGAATGCCAAAAAGGAGAGTTGAATATTTTATCCCAGAAGCAATAGGAAACCAGGGGCATTGGGGAGGGACATGGTCAGACTAGGTTCTGGGAGCTGTGTGGGGGTTGGCTTGTAGAGGGGGAGGAATAGGAGGCAGGGAAGTCAATTAGGAGGCCTTTGCATAAATGCTCATTGAATGAATGAATGAGTATATGCATGCATGAATGAATGACTAAACAAAGAAGTGAATGGCACCCCACCACAACAAGCAGCCAGCCCTCTCCTATGCCTCCACAAAAGTCTCAAGGTGCCAGCTTACTGACGAAAGGAGAGGTCTTGGGGCAGGTGGGCAGGTCTTCCTTGGTAGGGCTCAGGGGTTGGATTTGGTCCAGGCCGCTGTAGACATCTTTCACTGTCAGGATGGTGTCGGTGGTACTAAGGACGCTGGTGGTCAGCATTTTCAGGACATAGCTGACCTGGTGGTGGTAACCTTGGTGATACAAGACCGCCATTATTGCCAGCTGCAGTCCGAAGAAGATGAACAGCGCTCGGCCCGGTGCCACCATGTTGGGGGCAGGAGGGAGGTAGGGTTCTGCCCTGCTCCCTGGGCAGGCCCAGTCAACTTTGCCCAATGGATCACCTCTTGGCTCCTTGCCTCTGCCAAGCTATGAAGATGGGGAAGAACAAAAAGTGGGAGTGCCGGTGAGGAAGTGGGAGAGAAGAGTAATTAAATAATCATTAAAGGAGGAAAAAGAAGGGGCTCAGAGAGAGGTGACAAGTTTATTCCCATTTCACAGATGAACATACTCAAGCTCAGAAGTGACTTGGTCACGGTCACTCAGTTAGTTGTCAAAACCAGGATCTGAACCCAAGCCGTCTAGTCTAAATGGAGAATCTGAAGCCTAGAAAGAAGTAGATAAGTGACTCATCCAAAGTCACCAGCTGCTTATGGATCAGAGGTAGGATTTGAACCCAGATCATAGAACCTTAATTAGAATGGATTTTAGTGAGAGGAGGCATGGCATCTTGGGGAGAGTGATGGGCTTGGAATCAGGAAGATCTAGGTTCAAATCCTGCCTGGGACACTTATTACTTTGTTAAGTCACTTTATGCCTCTGAGCCTCAGTTTCCTCCTTAAAAAAAGAAGGTAAATTGAGGGGGTTGGACTGCCCGGCCTCTGGGGTCCCCCCCAGCTCTGGACCTCTTATCCTATGCTCATCAGGTTCCAAAGATGGAAAGTGGCAGAACCCAATTGGAGCCCACACCTTCAGATCCACTATCATATCACACTGCCTTATCTCCTGACTCTTTGGGTTCCACGATGCTGACTTTTCTGGGGGACTTCCTGGAGGAAGGGGACATTCTGATGAGACAGAAGAGAACAAGACAGTGTTTGTCCCTAGAAAAACAACCCATCATGGCAACTAAGTGTCCTAGCAACCCTGGAGTCAGGAGGATCTGAGTTCAAATCTGGCCTCAGACACTTACTAGCTGTATGACCCCGAACAAGTCACAACCCAATCAATTGCCTCCCTAAAATAAAAAAGAAAAAAGAAAGAAAGAAAATGAACTCACTGAGGTATCACCTTCTCCAGGAAGTCAATCTCAATTAGAGAGAAAGGCACTGTACCCACTGAAGAGATGGAAAAAGGGATGGACTCTGTCTTTTAGCCTTTAAAAATGAATTCACTACTCTGCTCCTAAAACTCCACTCAGTTCCATTCTGGAAGCTAAAGCCACTAAAGGGCTCTAATTGCTAGGAGAAGGATCACAAAATCATAGATTTAGAGCTGAAAGGGACTTTAGAGGGGACAGATGTGGAAACTGAGACCATACAAGGTAAGGGACTTGTCAAAGCTCACACCATCAGTAAGTGCCTGAAGTGATATTTGAGGCCAGCAGATCTTCCAGACTCTGAGGGTAAGCATGGCAGCGCCTTTCCCCCCAGAACCATGCACCTAGCCTGGATTTCTTCCCTTCATGCTAAGATGCCATGGAGAGTGGAAAGGTCATAGTCAGAAGACCTAGGTTCAGACACATAGTAGCTGTGTGACCTTGGGCATGTAGCTTGACATCTCTGAATCTGCTTTTTTCTCAGTTTAAAATGGAAAGGAAATACATGAACTACTGCCATGACCCTAACTCAGCCCATTCCCCTTCCTGACCAAGCCAGACTATGCCTCTGGAATTGGCTGATCCATTCAAGCCTACATGTCTGGTTCCTTCCCCAAATTTCTCTCAGCCTCCACCCTGGGCTAGCTCCTCTTGCCTCCTTCTCCAAGTTTGTCTCGCAGAGCTGAATCTGGGTGGCACCTCTGCACCACCCCCATTCCTAATCATATATATCCACCCCAGCTAGTCAGTCCCCAAACCCTGTAATCATCTTCTTTACCATAAACCACCACCCAGAGCCCAAGGCCTACCCTCCCTCCTTTCGGCCCTTTTCCCCATCTCCACCAGCCACTGGACTCCTCTCTCTCTCTACCCTTATTGAGACCTTCCTTTTCCTTTCCCTGCTCAAGGACCTTCAAGAGCTCCCATAAGTTAAGACCAGACTCTTCATCCTTGCAATCCAGGCCCTTAGAGTTGGGGCCAATCAATCCCTCTGAATTGTCTCCCTGACTCACTTACACATTCACTTCCCTTGGCACCCCAAGCTTTCCTTCATACTATATGTGTTATGTGCCTTCTTGCCTGAGGTGAGCTCAATCCATGCTTGCACCTCTCTCCCTACCCCCATCCTTGGGTTCTCCCATCCTTCAGGGCCCAATGTCTTCCAAGAGGCCTTCCCTGAGGACCCCAACTAAGACCCATAGAGGGCTTCCCAACATTCTCTGTATCACATATGCAAGCCCTTTGAATATATGGTCATATATTAAGTTCCAATGATGTGTGTGTGTGTGTGTGTGTGTGTGTGTGTGTGTGTGTGTATGAGAGAGAGAGACAGAGACAGAAAGAGACAGAGAGACAGAGAGGTCTCCTCAACTACTCTGGGAGCTCCCTGAAGGCAGGAGCTATGGACCTTCCTTAGTATGTCCCATAGCCAAACACAAGATAAGGCAGAGGAAACCCGAAGTTCCTTCCTGTTTCCCTCTCCATAAAATGGGGCAGGAGGTAAAGATTGTGAAGGACTCTTCCTCCCAGCTCTGCTCTTCTCTGTTCTAACAACCTTTCTGGCTGTTCTTGTTGGGCCTTCAGAATACCTATCATAGGGTGCCTGGCTTAGAGTAGGCACCACCTACCTGAAGTGTTTGGGGAAGAATGGGGAGAGTGGGAGGAGAGCAGGAGATGAGGATGGAGAGGGAAGCTGGGACCCAGCTCTGGTGGTCTCCTTTGCCAGACCCAGGAGTCATTGAATGTTAGAGTTGTCTTAGAAGTCTACCAAGTCCAACCTCTGCCTTTTACAGATAGGGAGACTGAGGCCCATGGAGAAGACCTGTCCGAAGTCACAAGGCCCATCAGTGCCAGAGGCAAAACTAGGTCTCGGGAACCAAGGCTCTCTCTGCAAGGACTCCATTTCCCTGAGTCCTGACACCTCCCAACTCCTACTAGTCTATTGCTAGCTCTCACCTCAGGTGTGATCCTGTTCTCCCCCAGCTCTTAGCAATCCTCCTCCCCCACCCCAGGCACCTCTGGGGAGGCCAGCTGCCTCTCTGTTCACTGCAACGAGAGACCTGGGAGAGGAAATGAAGTCAAGCCCTGTGGTTAGAACCAGCATGACATGAGAGTACTGGGACATGTGAGTCCTTCGGTGAAAGCCTTCCTCCCCCTCCCCCACCACTCCATTTGGGCTGGTCCTGAGGGCCCAAAGCAAGGGGATTAAGATACTTGTGGAGCTGGTGGCCCTGGGCCCAACTGATCTTTCTGTATCTTCGGCCCTTTGTCTCTCTGGCTGGTGGCACCTTCTCTCTGAGGCAAAAACTGGAGGAAAGGCTTATGAGGCCACCTCTACCTGGCCCCCACTGCTTTTCAGGCACTTGTCTCCCACCCGACCCTGACTTTTATAAAAGCAACAACTCTCCACCCGGAGACTGTCTCTTCCTTCCATTCTCAGGTCACAGAGATGGTGGCCCGGGCTGGGGGTGGGGATCACAGAGGTGAAGGTGATGGGTTGCTTGGGTACCTGTACTCGGACCCCAATTCCAAGACCATATTTCTCCCTAGCCTCAAAACACTATCCCTGACAGTTTTCTTCCCAGCCCGAAGACCCTGTTTCTGGCAATAATTCTGGAGTGGGCCCAGTGAGGTGAGCTATCTCTCCCTGTCACCCAAATAAGCTGACCTCTATAGAATGTACTGTCTTACATCAACAAAACTATAACGTACTGATTCCCACAGTTATCATATACGATCCAGAGGTCAAGCTGTAGACATTAACTCCCAAAGCTGTTTTGTTACAGACATAACAGACCAAAAATCCACCCCTTAGGAACCCCTCTCCCCAGTTTCCAGTAGCAAATGACGCCTGTGACCAAGGTTGTATGCTATCACCTAATTAGCATACCTGGCACATAATTTGCTGCTTTTCTTATATAAGCTTTAGCATCATTCCTATTCAGTTGCAGAGTCCTTTAAGGAGCTCTGCCCGCCATATTAGTGTTATAATACATCTTTGCCAATTTGACTTAAAGAATGCTTAAGTCTGTAAAATCATTCTGGATGGTCCTGTGCCGTACTTCAGTCCTTGGGGCATCCCTGAACCTCTTAAACTGCATCGAAGGGAGACATACAAGGACACACACCCCTGCTCAGGGCACAACTCCCCAACTCCATATAGGTACACACACACACACACACACACACACACAATCAGGGCCAAAGATGGGGATCCCCCTGAAGACACTCTGACACAATCACTTGGCAGGAAGGAGGAATCTTGTTACCAGACCCACCACTGCACCCCGGGGACAGTTATCACACCCAGAGAGACACAATCCCACCCAGAAATAAATCCCAGACACAGCCACAGCAAAGACAGTTCTCTAATGCTGACGGAATCCCACCTGAGCACTTTCCCTGCCTCACTGGCCACCCGGGGCCAGCTTCCTTTTACAGAACCTTGCAAAAGCAACACATGAACCACCAAAAAATGGGTAACAGTCAACACTGCAAAGGACACCGGTGTTGCCCCCGCCTTCAGGAAGACTCTTAAGATCTTAGTTCCACAACTGCCAGGGAGGCACTTGGCTTTGAAGGTGGCACAGTGGATAGAGCAAAGGGTCTGGAGTCAAGAAGGCCAGAGTTCAAATCCCACCTCAGGTACTTACTAGATGTGTGACCCTAGGCAAGTCACTTAACCTCTGTCTGCCTCAGTGCCCGCACCTATAAAATGAGAATAATAATAATAATAGCATCTTATTATGAAGAAACGCCCAGGGTTGTTGAGAGGATCAAGTGAAATAGCATTTGTCAAACTCCTGGCACATAGTAGGCTCTTAATGAATGCTCATTCTCTTCCCTTTCCCCCCTCAGAAGCTGACTGCTCCTCCAGAAACAGGCAGCCAAGACCAGGACAACTATCTGGGAAGTCTGGCCGAGGCCACGGGCCTGGCTGCTCTGGTGCCCGCCTCGCGCCTCTCAGGCCTGGCCACAGAGGCTGGGGCGTTCTTGTCTGACATGGTGTGGTGACTTGGAGGCTAATGCAGTCATGGCCTGCTATACTGGAAACCACAGAGAAAGAAACTCACACGTCCACAATCGTGCAGGGCCACAAAGAGTCTCACAGTCAGACTAAATGATGAAGTGATCCTTCCCTCAGAGGCTGGTGGGTCTTCTTTGGCACAGAACATTTAACATCTGAGCTGGGGGGACCTTAGAACAGAGAGTGTCAATGTCAGGGCTCGGAGGGGCCTGAGAACAGGGGACGTCAGAGCTGGGAGGGCCCAGAGAACAGAGAGTGTCAGAGCTGGCAAGACGGAATGTCATGGCTATGGAAACCTAAGAATAGAGATTGTCAGAGACTCTAGAACATAGAATGTCAGAGCTGAGGACCCTGAGAACAGGGGATGTCAGAGCTGTAGGGACTTTAGAATAGAGAATATCAGAACTAGGAATAATAATAGCTAGCATTTATAGAATATATTTAAGATCACTTTACATATATTTGATCCTAACAACAATCCTACAGAGTAGACAATATCATTATCTCCATTTTACAGATGAGGAAACTGAGGCTAGAAAATGTTAAGTGACTTGCCCAGGGTGTTCAAGGTAGCTAGATAGAGCACTGAGCCTGGAGTCAGGAAGACCTGAGTTCAAATATGGTCTCAGACACCTAGTAGCTGTGTGACCTTGGTACCTAGTACATAATAGGCACTGTATAAATGTACAGCTAGCTAGAGGGGCAGCTAGGTGGCACAGTGGATATAGCACTAGCCCTGTAGTCAGGAGGACCTGAGTTCAAATTTGACCTCAGACCAAACACTTGACACTTACTAGCTGTGTGACTCTGGGCAAGTCACTTAACCCCAATTGCCTAAAAAAAAAATGCATGGCTAGGGTCACACAAGGAAGGTCCACAGAACATGGAACAGATAATGTCAGAGCTGGGCAGGACCCTGGAACACAGAATGTACAGTTCAAAGATGGTGCTTAGAGATGATCTAATGTCCCCTTGTACTTTTATAAATTGGGAAACTGAGGCCCAAGGTCTGCCTATCCAGAGGCTGTTTTTAATAATCATTACCTAGATAGGTCTCCTCTCTCTGGTCTCTGGGCAGTCCCTGTGAATGACCTAGGAATAAGAGCTGATCAAAAATGGACTTGATGCCTTGAAAGGCAGAGTATTTCCTATTCCTATGAGGTTGAAGGCTGGTTTGTTGGGAATGATATTAGGAGGGAGAGAAAGGGAGGGATGGAAATTCTGCCCAGGTCGAGGGTTGGGCTAGATGCTCTCTGAAAGTCTTCCAGCTCTGAGTTTCTGTGATTCCACCATGGAACATCTAAGAGCATCCAAGTAAAGGTTTTCTCTGCACTGGAGGGGACAGAGCTGGATCAGATAGATGTTAAGTCTTGATTAGTTAAAAAAAAAAAAAAGCCATGACTTCATTTGTGGGATCCTTCTGTCTCCCAAACCATCATACAATCATAAAAATTCAGTTGAAAGGTACCTGAGGGCCATCTAATCCAACGCAAACCTGAACAGAAACCCTAGTCTATGGCCTCCAGGAGAAGGAGCCAACCAGCCTCTGCTTGAAGACCTAAAGAAATGGAGAACTCACTACCTCCTGCAGCAGCCCGTTCCATCTTGGGGCATGGCGTATTGTGCCGAAGGTGCTCCTCGCACCCAGATTAAATGGACCTTTTTGAAAACAACACATTTATTGCTCCTACTTCTGCTTTCTGGGACTAAAAACACACCAAAAATCCTAACAAAAACCCACAGGCCTAATCTCCCATCCACATGAGGAAGTTTTCTTCAGGAACTGGAAGAATGCAATCTTCCTTTCCCTCCACTTTCTGTTCCTCATTAAACTTCCTCAGGTCCTTTAACCAGCCATTCTGTGACTGGGTTCAAAGTCCCTTAGAGATGATGTTTAAGAGTTACTAGGCACTGAAAAAGTCACCACCTGGTAATGAGCCTCTGGGAAACTGGAGAGGGTAGTGGTTAGGAAGCGGGAGCAGGGCATCACTGGATCCCTCTGAGATTTAGAGGTGGAAGGGACCTTGGGGACCATTTAGGTCAGCCTCTTTTCTTACAGCCTCTCGTTTAGCCACATAATCAAGGTTCAGCCCCACTGAAGCAGGTACCTCTAGTAGAGGCAGGCCCCAGGCTCCTGTCTCATCTTCCTCTTTGCTTACAAGCCTTTTCCCTCACTTTGAAACTAAACTTCAGTTTGATCCCTGACTCTCCTGTCTATGGCCTGCTCTGTTCAGCTGCCGCCACCCACAGGTTAGAGGCCAATTTGGTCAGACAGACGTCATTATTAATTCCCTCCTCTGCAAAAAGAAGGGAACCCTTCCAGCTCCAGATACAGCATCATACCCATTCCCCTTCATTTGCATCCTGGAGTGAGAATAGAAAATGAAACCTGCTGTGGTTTGAGTAAAACTCCACCAGACCAGAAGAACTATAAGCCACAACCCAGCTGCTGGGTGCTCAGCACTGTCCTCTCTGGCCTCAGGACTGGGATGAGGGGAGGGGGAGGGGCAGGCTGATTCTTCAAAACCAAATGCAAAGGCCCTTCAATAAAGGACTTCAACAGTCCCTCCTTTCTCTCTCTCTCTCTGGGTGCCCTCCCCTTCTCTATCCAAATTAAGCTACTGATTCCCAGATTCCTAGAAGGGCAATCTCTACCTTCAGTGCTGAGCTTCCCTTAGTGTGAGGCCCATGTCGTACTCCAAGAGCAGGGCCAGGAGCAGGGTCTCCCCCTTCCTTTGGCCCTTTGGTCTGTTTTAGAATCAGACTCTCAGAACTCAGGACCTCAGGAGCCATGCAGTCCAACCCACATCTGACTGAGAATCCCAAATCCAGCCTCCAGACTCTGGGCAAGTCCCTTAACCTCTCTCTGCCTCGGTTTCCTTATCCATAAAATGGGGAAAATAATAGGAGCTATTTTCTAAGGCTGCTGTGAGGATCAAATGGGGTAG